ACTAGGATAGACCAGCCTTCTGGCAGGACCGCCATCGTGTTAAGTCTCATTTTGTATCTGTAAAAATATTTCTGCAGGGACTTGCCTTTTCTTTTGCCCATTTTCCTTCTGTGAATATTTGATTTCAATGTAACCGCTTACGTATACGTCTAGCGTGCCCGCTTACGGCAAGGTTGGGAGTCCAGGCTGACTTTCATCAACTGGAGAACGCTCCTTTGCTCTGAAGAACTTTGTTCTTAGTCAGCTGTTGTTCTCTAGAGCAGCTTCCCATAGTAAATGGGAAGATACCTTCCTCAAAAAAGGGTTTGAATTTCAAGAAGCATTTGTGTTGGTACTACCTAAAATCTGCCCCTTTCTCTGTCCCTAGACGACAATGGAGGCATCTCAGAGCAGCAAGGCCGGCGCCAACGGAGCCTAGCCTGGAGCCAGCGCGGACTCTCTAACGCGGGGAGAGAAGAGCTTTCATCTCTGCGCCTCCTCAGGAGGGAAGAGTGACTTTCCCGGAGGCTGCTTTACGCAGAAAGGCCTCAGTAGCCCCCAGCGGCCCCTCCATCTATTCCAAGCTTATTAGCAAGTAGACCATGGCAAGGCGCTCTGGGTTCTCCTCTGTGCCCTACCCCCCCCCATTTTAACTTATGTTGTAAATATGTTAATAACGACGCTACTCTCTGTGCTGTTACTGAACGGGTGTTTGTGCTTTTAAACCTTAGAGAAGGCAGCTTTTCATTGTCGCGCAGAAGGAGCTAGGCTGGAAGTCCAGCACAGCCTCTTCTGCGGTTTGAAATCCTGCGCAGGGACGTACCCACACAGCCAGGGCTTGCAGCTTCCTCTGCTGCCGCAGCTTCACGACCTCAGCCCCTTGATCCTGGTTAGCATGGTTTAACCAGTAACCGGTGCACAGAATGACCCGTGTAGCCATTGTGTTTCACGGTCACATTTGCACCAAGGAGAATAACCGCAGCAAAGGGAGGACCAGCGCTCCCCTCAGCGTTGTGGTTGAACTTAACTGTTCAGAAGGACGTAAGAACTTTCCGGACAAGAGCAGAGCAGTGAAGAGAAGAGCTCCCACTGTGTGAGCGTCTGCGTTCATCAGCGAGGGCTGCAGCAGGTGCCAGGCACTGTTCCAGAAGGCAGAGACTTGTGTTTTTAGGATCCCACTGGGTCGTGTGAGGTGGGAACATGGGGACCCACACACGTTTCCCAAGTCTGAGGTAAGACTTGGATAAACCTTATCAGGCTCAGAACTGCACATCAGCAATTGCTCTCAGACTTATTATACTTTACAAAATGATTCTTCACACACTCCAGTGTTGACTGTTTTTTGGTAGACTCTTTAGGAGGATACTGAAAGCTGTTTTTAGCATTTGTTAGGTTTTTTTTACTTTGTCCTATGTAAATGTTCAGAAATTACTCACATGATGGATTTTAAATATATTTATACTTTAATTTTAAAGTTAGACTTGGTGCTAAGTAGAATGAAATGTCTTTTCTAGAGGTCAGCCTTTAGAACAGTCCAACTCAAAAAAAAAAAAAAAAGCCAGTCATCTCAAGGTCAGGCGTTATCAGCACTTTAAACATGTGACTTCGGGCTCTTTCTCGCAGCGCAGAACCGGCTTGCGGACGACAGCTACCCTCCTGCTGCATCCTTCGTCCTGCACCCGCACCCCCACCTCCCGAGCACAGCCAGAATGCAGTGCTCAATACTTGTATTTAACTGGTGGTTAGTAAATGAGAACAAGTGTTATTTCAATAAAATAACTTTTTTGCTCAACTCTTCTCGCCTCTGCGTGGCACAGCCGAGGTGTTGCTGGTGGCCATTACTCTGCCGGCTGAGGCAGAACAGCCTTTGGCTTCTCGTGTGTTTAACAAAAGCGTTGGCTCCTCGGTACCACCGACAGTCGCTGCTGTTTGAACGGAGCTGTGAGCGAGCGTCTGCAGAGCCCCCTTCGTCCAGAAAAGCATTTCACCCCCTGAAGAGCCAAGTACAAGCGGTGAGGGCAAGGCTCCGGCGGTGTGAGGCGCCGAGATTAGTGTGCAGAAGTAAAAGAACGCACGTAATTGCTGTCTTGTGGCTCAAGCATGTAAATAGCAAGATGGAATTCCTGAATTCAAGGGAAGTGGAAAGAGCTATGCAGGGGAGAAGTCTCCCTGGTTTAAAGCACGCTAACTGAAGGGTCGCTGCTGCCGCGGCAGGGCCGGAGACCTCCGACGTGTCTGCGAACGGTGTTGGGTAACTGCAGCTGCGGAGCCAGGGGCGGGCAGGACGGGCAGCTCGGCTGGTACTAACGCCATCCGAGGGAACTCATCCCTGTCCCGCACCGGCACATACACACGACAATTCCATTGCCATCGATGATTTTCCCCACCGCCCCGCGCTCTGCCAGCACGCGGTAGTTCCCATTCCCCAGGGGTTTCTAGGACGGTGTAATTAGTGCGCGCAGGACTCGCACAGAGAGCCCGCGGCCGCTGCTCTCCCTCGGCCGGAGCCCTCGGCCCGTGTCCGATTTTGGGTGGTGCTTGGACCCAAAAAGCCCCAAAAGGGGCCGCTCGGAGCTAAACCAACACACGCACCCCATGGAGCCTGCCCAGCTCCATCCCGCGCCCGTCCATCTGTCCGTCCGGCGGCAGCGGGCAGGGGCCGGACACGGGCAGCGCGTGCCAAACACAGACCTGCAGGAACCTTTCAAAACAGGTCCCAAAACCTCGTGCATCGCGGGTGCTCGTACTGCCTGCGAAGGACACCTCCGGATTTACGCCAGGATCCCGCAGCCCTGCGACAACAGAGCAGCGCACGGAGAGCGCGGGCCTCGCGCGCAACCCCGCAGCCAACGTCTGCGTCGGGGAAGGCAAAGTTGGGTTGAGAAGTTGTTCTTATTTCCAGGGGCAATTAGGAGCCACAGGAGGGAGTGTTACCCAGAAACGCCCTCTCGGCAGAGCCCGCCTGACGGCACCCGGCGCGGCTGAGGAATTTCGAATTCCCAGAATCCGCCGTTCATTAGCGCAGCGTAATGAAGTGTTTTCAGCACCAACCAGGCTTCAAAGGTTTCTGTTTTCTCCGCGCCTGCAGCAGCAGCTGAAGTTCAAAGCTCAGACCCCGGCGTTGCGGCCAGACCCGCTCCAGCCAACAGCGGCAAAACGAACCCGCTCGGACGCGCTGGCCCCACGCGCCGCAGTGCTGCCCGCAGGCAGGGCAGGCAGCGGGGAGATGCTGCTGCCTGCCACCCAGCATCCCCCCGGCTCCTGCCCCTTCCCCAGCCCCTGAGGGCAGCGCGTCGGTGGGGCACCGGCGCCTCGGAGAGGGGTTCCCCAAAGCTCCCACACACGCGTGGGCACCACTATCCGGTCGCCGGAGCCGTGTCCTGCCCCAGGCCCCCCAAGTGAGCCCCCACACAGGCATCACCGGCGCACAACACGCTTCCTAACAGCTCGTCAAGCTCGTCACTGCTGTGCCCGCAGCCCGCGGACGTGAGCCTGCCCGATGCAGCGGGGGAGCCCGGCAGGTACCTTCTGCAGAGCAGCGATGGGCTCCTCTTTCCCCACCTTAACGCTGCGTCTGACACGGACCGCTGTGCCGGCAGCGCTAACAGCTGAGCAGGATCAGGCCGTCAGCTTCTCGGGGTAACCAACCCCACAGGGACAGGCTCGGAAAAGCTGATTTTGAACCAGTACAAACCCGCGGAGGTGTGAGCCCGCCCGGGCACAGGTTACAGGGAGGAATATTTACTGCTCCGCTGCAGCGGCGTCGAGGCTGCGCGGTGCCGTGTGCCCGGGGCAGCACCGCCCCTGGTGAGGGCTGTTCGGGGGAGGCAGGAGCATGGAGGAGGAGAGGTTTTTGCTTCTGGAGCTGTAGAATCAACACTGTCCTGTTCCCTAACCTACCCACAGGGAGCAGAGTCACTACGGCAGAGTTATGTGGGGTGTCTGAACACCTGACTGTGGTTTTGGGTAACAGCGCGTGCCCGCAGCCCTCGGGAGGGACAGGGGCCACGCACTGAGTTTGTCACCAGTCGGGGACGGGATCCCCCAGCCGCAGCTCACCCGCAGCATCCCCGGAGAAACCCCCGTTGCCAGCAGCAGGCAGCTGCGGGGGGAGAAGACACACACACACACACCCACCCCCCCCCCCCCACACCCCCCACCCTATTTCACAGCCTCCTTTCTGCAAAAAAAGAACCCATTCCCTAAAGCGCAACCACCACAACAATAATACCAATAATAATACAGCCCCAGCGCCGGGGAGCACTTACCGGTGGTGGTTGGGATGCTCTGGGGGCTGCAGGCTGCGAGGGGGCGGCTGTGGGGCAGGAGCCCTCCGCCCGCTCCGGCTTTAAAGGGACCCACTCGCCC